ATTCTTTATTGGCCAAGTGTGATTGGACACACAAGGAATTTGTCTTCAGTGCATAAGCTCTCAGTGTACATAAAAGATATAAGTGATAAATCATGATCGTAGTGATCATAAATGCATACATCATGAATCATAAGATACATAACTTAGTCTGATAGAGGTAGTCTAGCATTGTTTCTTTTCTGCTTACAAGTTCTTTTGTACTTTTAGGAAAAGAGAAAATATTTCTCAAACTAGAAAAGCGTAAGGAAACAAGCCCCCCCCCCCCCCCCAAAAAAAACCTTTGGAGATCTGAATTCACAGGGTTAGGTTTTATTAGCAACTGGGCATGCTATGAGAAAACCCTGTGCTCTGTCTCTCTTTCTCAGAATGTCAAGACACTGTTGACAAGAAATCCCTCAACTAGTTCTGGCTGCCAATCAAAGATCAAACAAGCTTGCAGAGGGAATTACGGCGGCAGCAAATGCCACTTTGAAAGTCAACGGGCAGCCCACCAATCCATGAGATTCTTTCCTCTTCACAGTAGCTGTTGCACTGAGATGACAAAGTGAGTTTGCTATCAGATGAATATATGGAGGAAATTGATTAATCCCAAATTGCAAGGGGAAAAAACAAAGCATAAGAAAAGTAATAGTACTTGAGAACGAAAACTTTAGATTTAACAGAAACAATTACCTTTTACTAATGGATATGTCTATCTCAATTACATGTTGCATATGTCAGCTTTGGAAGCCATATTAAGCCAGAAACTTCCATGCTGCCACCTTCTCATGTGTGGGAAAGTAGGAGTGGGGATTTAGTAGAGGGGTTGTCTTTAGACATGATAGCATTCTTCCTGTCGGTCAAGGTGAGGCCAATCCTGCATCTGGAGGAGTGGTCAGAGTGATGTCTCGGGATGGGACGGCTGGTGATTGGAGCATGTGATCGTCTGAGGAGTGAGGGGATGGTTTGGGGGTTTTTGATTTACTGAGGGAAAACCTGGACCTCTCAGATTCGGGTTTTCCCCAGGTGTCCCCAGAACTTTGAAAATGCTTGCTTCAGAGTTTTACTTGGAGTTGGGGGGTTTTCTGGAACACTGACAGCATATACCATATCACACATGAAAGTCAGTCTGGTGTAGTGGCTAAGAAACTGAGCTAGAAAATGGACGACCAAGATATGTAGTCTTCCCTTGAACACAGAAGCTGACTTAGTAATTTTGGTCCAGTCAATCTCTCTCAGCCTAACACATTTCACTGGGGAAAATATCGTGGGTGAAATGCCATCCTATCGAAATTCACCACTGGGTTGCTTTTTCACTTTACCCAAATTGATAAGATTGAGTGAGTCCAGAGTAGGGCAACAAAAATGGTGCCTTATCTGATGGACAAAACATATCGGAAGAGATCGGAGGAACTGAATATATACAGCCTGGAAGACAGAAGGAAAAGGGGGTGATATGATTGAGACCTTTAAATATACTAGAGGTGTGAATAAGGTTTTAGAAGGCAGTATTTTCAATATTAAGCAAAAAATAAAGAACGCAGGCTAGTCATTGCTGATTATAGGGGGAGATGTCATCTCCATTGCAAGGCCAGTGAGTCAGTGCTGCCATGGTCACATGGCCAGCATGATGTCACGGAACACTGTTACCTTCCCACCAAAGTGGTACCTCTTTATCTATTTGCATTTGTATCAGTGGTGGGTTGCTCCCGGTTCGCAAGAACCGGTAGTAAAAAAATTTAGTAGTTCGGAGAACCGGTAATAACATTGGATGGCCACGCTCCCGAACCAGTCCCCGGTCGCCGCTCGCTTACCCCGCCCACCTCATCAGAGGCTTTTTCTTTTCTTTTAAAGCATTTTTATACAAACTCTTCAGCTGAAAAAAGGCTTTTAAAAGTTAGGCTCAGCTGGGATCTCAGTGGCTTCTAAAAACATTTTTTTCTGCAACCTCTTCAGCTGAAGAGGTTGTAGGGGGAAAAAAATGCCTTTAAAAGCCTCTGGCGATCCCAGCTGACTTGCCTGATCGTCAGAAGCTTCTAAAACCATTTTTTTTTTGGCAACCTCTTCAGGCGAAGAGGTTGTAGGGGAAAAAATGCTTTTAAAAGCCTCTGGCAAAGTTAGCCACACCCATCCAGTCACATTACCACCCCACAAGCCATGCCCACAAAATAAGCCATGCCCACAGAACCGGTAGTAAAAAAATTTAGAACCCACCCCTGATTTGTATGCTTTAGAACTGCTAGGCTGGCAGAAGCTGGGGCGAGGACGGGAGCTCACTCCATTGCACGGAGCTTGGGTCTCCAATCTGGGTTGCCAGCTTTGCATATGACAAGCCTAGCATCTTAATTGCTGAGCCACCACATCACCAAATTGACAGGAGAGAAATTCAAAAGTAATGTTAGAAAGTATGATTTCATAGAGAATAGTGGAAGCTTGGAACCAACTCAGCAGAGGTCAATCATCAGTAACTGAATTTAAACATGCATGGGATAAATACATGTCCATTAACCGACAAAAATAAAAATAAATAAAAATAACAATGGAAAAATAATAAATCAATTAATTAAAAAGAAAACATCCCCCCAAATAAACTCAAATGGCATGTTTAATGGATTACTAGGTCTCTTTCCACCCTCATTTTCTATATTACTGTGTTTTTAAATCAATATATTGGTTAGCTCTGACTCAAAAAAAAAATCTGCACATTTACTTCAATTCAGGCAATGTTCTTGTCTATCTTTTATTTCAGTTGCAAACAACTCAGTCATAATAATTCTATCTGTCCTACATGACAGTTTTCATTTGCTATAAAGGTGCATTCAGGAACAGTACTTAATATGTAATTTGAGATATACTGTAATTTTTATCATAATACTCAGTCCATCTTTCTTCTTTCTGGGTTTCTTCTTGAAGATGAAGCTACAAGATTTAATTTATTATTGATATTATCAGGTATAAATTTTAAATATCAAATTTAAGGTTCCTCTCTGAAAATCTTATACATGACAACTCATATTCGTGTAAACATTAATTCATGAAAATGAGTGATGATAACAAACACTCTTAATTTTATGCATTCCTAGATTTCCAGGATCAAAATACAATGTGAATTTATCTAGCAAAGTGAAATAAAGACTCTGATAAAGAAATATCTGTAGTTTCTACCTTCTGACAGAATTCAAATACACTAAATACAAACTTTATTTCAATCTAATTTGTTTATAAAGATCTGAGACCCTTCCTGGCTGGTTTAATTGGTTTCAAAGTACGCTTAAGTAGTGCTTAAAACTCTAAATAAAATACATTAAAAAGAATTGATTTTCTGTTAGAAATCCTTTTTTTAGGATCAACTCATTCCTCTTTGCCAAATCAGGTTGGGCATATTTGTGAGTGTACAATATTAGTCTGGTTTACAAATGTTTCTAGTTTTTCTCTAAAAGGTGTTTTTTAAAAGGGGGATAGAGATTTACTGGGGTAAAAATAAATACCCGACTGGTCTGATGGATGACTTTTATTAACATTTGGAAATGCTTCTTCCCCTGACAGATAGAATTCCTTCATAATATAATTTTTTTAATAGCAGTTGAACTACTAGGGTATACTTCACTGTATTTTTCAAAAAGCATATTAGTTTTAAACAGTTATAACCTAAGTCAGTGATGGCTAACTTTTTTGCCATCGTGTGGCAAAAAGTGGGGGGAGCGTGGGGTGGTCATGCGTGCATGTGCCCACAGCCATAATTCAATGCGCCCCACCCCCCCATGCATGTGCGCACGACCCCCCATGCTCCCCCCGCTTTTGACATGCGATGGCAAAGTGGGCCCGGTAGGCCCATTTTTTGCTGTTCCCAGGCTCCAGAGCCTTTCTAGGAGCCTGGGGAGGGCAAAAACGCTCCCCCCCCGGAGGGCCTCCGGAGGCCAGAAATAGCCTGTTGGCCAACTTCTGGTGGGCCCGGAAAGCCCGAAAATCAGCTGGCGGAGCTGAGCTCGCGTGCCCACTGATACGGCTCTTAGGTTTGCCATCACGGACCTAAGTTATTCACGACAGCCTATTTTAATTAACCAAAACATTATAACTATCAAATATTCCTTGAAATTGATTAATGTAGAGGTATATCTTTTTTAGTCCTACAAGAGAGAGTTTATCACACTAAGTGTATGTTACATTTGACATAAACTCAAGAGCACACATGACATATATATTTTTAAAAAGAAAAACAAACTCATCTGTTTTCAAGTAACATGTTTTTGTGTATAATATTAGAAAGATGGTAGGTAGATGGGTGGGTGGATGGGTGGACGGATGGATAGATAGGATGGGTGAAATCCAGCAGGTTCTGACAGATTCTGGAGATCCAGTAGTGGAAATTTTGAGCAGTTAGGAGAACCGGCAAATACCACCTCTGGCTGGCCCCAGAGTGAGGTGGGAATGGAGATTTTGCAATATCCTTCACCTGGAGTGGGGTGGGAATGGAGATTTTGCAGTATCCTTCCCCTGTCATGCGCACCAAGCCATGCCCACTAAGCCACACCATGCCCAAGCCACGCCCACAGAACCAGTAGTAAAAAAAATTGGATTTCACTATAGATAGATAGATAGATAGATAGATAGATAGATAGATAGATAGATAGAATAGATGAGAGAGAGAGAGAGAGAGAGACATTTGGGACACATGTAATAGATGAAATCAGGTCAGAAAACTAAAAGCAAGTGTGTGTTATTTTTTTACTGCAGAATAGAAATATTTTGTGCTGCAATATGGTATGTTTTATTTTTTAGCCCATTGCTCCAGAATCAACCAACCATTCATCTGGCTATCTGGGATATTTCAGGAAATCTAAAAGCATCTGGATTCTCATGGGAAGTGAAAGGAATGAGACCTCCTGGGGGCACAGATTATACCATCTGCTTAAATAAGCTTTGTCCCTGGTAATTAAAGCTAATGATATTAATATAACAAATCTGTGAGCAAATGGAAAGTGAGTTAAGCAAGATCCTTGTGTGGATTATTAGACGCTAACCTCGAGTTTGAGAATGTCGTGCTGAAGCTTCCGCTGGAACTCCAAGAAGTGGGAGATGGTCAGTTTCCCCTTCAAATCAGCTCCAAAAAAGTATGTCGTCAATGCAGAATTGAAGCCGGTCTTCAACGTGTTCCCAGTAGTTGAACGGTCCCTGTGACGCATCCCCATGCTAGTCTGGGAACGAATGATGCTCTGAACCTACAGAGGGCAAAACAGCAATAGCAATAGCATTTAGAGTTATATACTGCACAGGGGTGGGCTTCAAAAATTTTAGCCTGGTTGTTGGGTGGATGTGGCCATGGTGGGCATGGCCTACTCGGCCTCCTGCACCACGGCGGGGGGGGGGGGCATTTTTCCCCTCCCCGGGCTCCGGAGGCTTTCCTTGAGCCTCCAGGAGCAAACCATAGTGAATGACCAGAAGGACCCCATCTATACAAGCTTCACAAATATATGTCAGCCCTGAAGCCATTTTGGAGCATCTTCAGGGCTGCCACAGCAAGGCTGGTTGAAGTTGTGAGAACGGGAGTGGGGACATAAAGATAGCTGGGGATGTGTAGCCAAAATAAAATTCTTTCTCCTGGGAACCAAAGGCGTTCTCATCAGGTGCTGGGAAAGCATGGACCGAAGCCAGCCGGAGTTGGGACTGTGACCTGATTGGACCATATGATGGACGTGGGGCCTGGGGGAAAGAACTTTGGGGTTTGATTTGGGTGGGGAGAACCTCGGTTCCTTTAGAGTTGGGTTTTCACCAACTGTGCCAATATGACATGCCTAATAAATTTCTACTTTGAGGAAACCCCAGGCCTCGGAGTTTTGATTGCGTTGGGTTTGTTACTTGGAACCCTGACAATACAGTTCAGAGTAACCATGTGTTAGTTCAGCTGAAAAGAAAATGCAATCATGATTAAGATGGAGAGGACCATGCATGATGAGCTATCCCATTATTTCTCCATTATTTGCCATTATTAAATGGCAAAATATGAAATGGATGTTTTGTTGTATTTGCTTGACCGTGATTTTTGTTTACAGAACTTTACATGAAAGTAGTAAACCTGATTCTATGATAACCTCTCCTTAGAATTATCAAATCATAGGGCTGAAAGGGACTTTGGAGGTCTTCTAGTCCAACCCCCTTCTCAAGGCGGGAGTCTTATACAATCCCAGCCAAATGGTTGTTCAGACTATTTTTGAAAACTTCCAATGATGGAGCATCCGCAACCAAAGGAGGCAAGTTATTCCATTGATTAATTGCTCTCACTGTCAGGAAATTTCTCCTTACTTCTAGGCTGTATCTATTTTTGACAAGCTTCTATCCCTTACTTCTTGTCCTGCCCTCTGTGCCCTAGTCAATCCCCTCTTTTTTATAACAGTCCCTTAAGCACTGGAAGGTATTCTTCTCTTTGATATTGAGATCTTACATATCAAGAAATGGAGAAAACTCTGTTTTAAAGCTTGCCATTCAGTCGGGTTTGACCGTGAATGTAGTGAGATGGAACACACAGAGATATATTGAGGGCACAACCACTGGAAACAAAGCTGCTTCTTGTATTTTATGAGCATTTTTTAAAAAACGTTCCATAGCTCCTTTTCATAAAATTTGCAAATATTGTTTGGCCAATAATGGAAGGAATGGGCCAATCTTTTACAGCTCCTTTATTGAAGCCTGGGGGCATCATACAGAATTGCTCCAGGCCTGGATATCCCAATTGTGAAACCCATTCCCCAAACTTAAGAATACCTTTGTCTTCTAGGGGTGTCTAGTCAAGAGTCAAAAAATGATCAACCAAAGTAACTCAAACCTTATCCTTGCTCGCTCTTTTTGCAACCTTGTCAGATTTGCAAAAAGAAAGAGATGTGAACGCACACAACGGCCTGCAATTTGCTTTAAAATAAAACCCAAGCTGTCTTATAAAACAGAGATGTTATAGCATGTCCTGCTGGTCCAGAGCACTTGGGTTTTTTAATTTGATTTATATGCCACCCTTCTCCGGAGACTCAGGGTGGCTTACAATGTGCTCAGCAATAGCCTTCATCCTTTTGTATATTTATACAAAGTCAGCTTATTGCCCCCACAACTGGGTCCTCAATTTACCTAGCTTAGAAAGGATGGAAGGCTGAGTCAACCTTGAGCCTGGCGAGATTCGAACCTGCAGTAATTGCAGGCAGCTGGTCTTAATAACAGGGTGCTTTAGACCATTGTACTACCAAGGCTCATGCTTCCCAAAATGTGTATTGTTTTGCTTGTTCATGCTTCCCAAAATGTGTATTAAATTCACTGACAGTTCAAGGTGCATAAAACACTTTGACTATAGACCCTCCAAATCCTGCTGTGCTGCCTCATTGGGACGGGGTGTGTGTGTGTCCTTGGATGGATGAGCATGGAATGCCAGGGTGTATGCCCAGCACCCTGCACGGTCACCAAGCCATGAGGATCATCCCAGCTTTCCAGTTAAAATAAAAGGCATATTGTGTAGCAGCAATATAAGAAAATGCTAGAGGCAGTTGATTGCTTCGGCGACAATGGAACAAAGCATCATTTCGTATTACGTAGGAGAAGGCAGTTGTAAACTACTTTGGTATTTTACCAAGAAGGCTGCAGTGTGCCAACTATCATGCAATGTTTTTAATTTCAAGTGCTAGGGGGAAAAAAATGCTGAGGATCATCCAACACAGATTACAGCATTACACGGTAAGAATAATGCCAGATGTTCAAGCTGGTTTTAGATAAGCCTGAGGAACAAGAGATATTGCGGATGTACTAAGGATAATTGAGAAAGACCCAGAATGTCACCTACCCAATCAGCATGTGCTTCAGCAATAAAGATTAGCCTTTGTTTGTGTCAACCATGTCAAGCTGTGTTCAGTAACATGGCAATCCCAAACCTCTGATTGTCTTCACATGAAACCTGTATTATAGATCAGGAAGCCCATAGCCTGAATGGAACGTGGAGAAACAGACTGTCTCCAGTTTGGCAAAGGAGTAAGACTAGGATGTATAACCTCTCCTTCTTTATTTAACCTGTCTGTTGAATCTCTCTCTCCCTCCCTCCCTCCCTCCCTCCCTCCCTCCCTCCCTCCCTCTATCATCTATATAGCTATCTCTATATCCCTATCACTATCCATCTGTCCATCTATCCATCCATCCATCTATCTATCTATCTATCTATCTATCTATCTATCTATCTATCTAAACAGGATTGGAAAACAATGAAAATTTAAAATTGGTGGAAGAAACAATAATTTTGCTGATGATGTCTCTGACAGTTTAAAATGAAACTGATCTGCTAACTCTAGTAATGAAACTCGAGGTGCATGGTGAAAAAAAACAGGAATAACTTTGAATATAAAGAAGATCAAATCCATGACAGGAGGTGTAGCAAACTGCCTTAGAATGGGCAAAGAAGATGTTGAAGTGGTGGTTAGCCTTTGCCTTTCAGAATTAACTATCAACAACAACAACAAAAAATGAATCAATTGTCACAGACCAGCATTTGATAGAGGAGCATTCAAAGCTTTGGGAAAGATATTCAGATGCTGGAATATGTTTCTATCTGCAGAGATGAGAATCATGCAATTGTTTTCCCTCTGACACTCTATGGAAATAAAAGCTGGACATGCACTGCACACAGAGAAACAAACAACTGTTGTAGTATTTGACAATTTCTGAAGATCTTGTTCTCAGATTATTGATTTCAGTCAGACAGCAGAAGCGAAGAATAAGGTTATTTTCACACAAGGAAAATGGTCAGCGTAACCTGGCAACTCAAATTCTAACCCCGATAATAGCAGCATGATTACTAAGTCACTAAACAGAATTAAAAATGCAGGAAAACAATCCCAGCTGCTTTTCAATGGTGCATATGGATGTAAATACAGATTCAAATTTTAAAAAATAAGTAAGTAGATCAGTTCTGACAATCTGTAAACAAATGGGTCAAGGATATCCTGAAAAATGTATATATTGCTGCTTAAATATTGGATCTGACTTACTTTAACCGCTTTATTTGTACAATTATTTCAGACTGATTTATGATGTTGAGATTGAATTGTATCCTGTATTTTCTAAGATGGCTTTGAAAGACTGCTATCTTGAAGGAGAGCTAAGAAATACCTACATTTAATAACTCAATGAAACGAAAGAATATGCGGCATAAATCCTTAGCAAGAACAAGATTTCAATTTTTGGCAATATTCCTGGACAGGTTATTAATCATCCAATAGAGAATTGAATTTACGATGTTTCTTTTTATTATGTGATATTCCAATACAATTTAGACTCCAGAGAAATGAAAGGTTACTGCCCTAACTTCTCCTCTGATACAATCATTGCAGTCTTTTCATCCCAGGAAAAAAAAATCTTGTTTTCCAAATTGGTCAGGAGTCTGCCAGTTTTTAAAGTTCCAGTACAATGGAGTTAATTTTTAAGTACAAAATATCACTTCCTCCTACAATAATAGGAGTATGTTATTTTAATAGGTAATATATAACTCAACCATCTCAATGGGAAGACTGATGTAGGCAGAAGGTACAGGAAAAAGGGATCATAAAAAAGAATATGGTACCTTCAGATATAAAAATTCTACAGAGGAATTATTGAGTCTGTCATCTGCACCTCTATAACTGCCTGGTTCGGCAATCAAACAAGACAGACACAGACTTCAACGGATAATTAGAACCACAGAAAAAACAATTGCTACCAACCTGCCTTCCATTGAGGACCTGTATACTGCACGAGTCAAAAAGAGGGCTGTGAAAATATCTACAGACCCCTCACGTCCTGGACATAAATTGTTTCAACTTCTACCCTCAAAACGACACTATAGGGCACTGCACACCAGAACAAGTTGACAGTTTTTCCCTGAATGCCATCACTCTGCTAAACAACTAATTCCCACAACATTGTCAAACTATTTACTAAGACTGTATTACTATTATTCTTCTCATCCTTCCTATTACCTATCCCCTCCCACTTATGACTATAACTTTGTTGCTTGTACCTTTACGATTTATATTGTTTTGTTTCCTAGTATGATTTGATTGCTAATTTAGTATCCTATGACTATCACTAAGTGTTGTATCTTATGATTCTTGATGAATCTATTTTTTATGTACACTGAGAGCATATGCACCAAGACAAATTCCTTGTGTGTCCAATCACACTTGGCTAATAAATTTCTATTCTATTCTATTCTATTCTATTCTATTCTATTCTATTCTATTCTATTTCTATTCTATTCTATTCTATTCTATTCTATTCTATTCTATTCTATTCCATTCCATTCCATTCCATTCCATAACGTAGCAATTCCCATTTTAAAATATTACATACTTTTTAAAAGAGGATGCTGAGTTTCTTCTTGTCTCTGTTGGAAAAAGATTATTAAACTTTGCCCAAACCCCATTGATGGTGGGTGGGAGCAAGCATTTTAGCGGTTTCATAACTTTCTCCCTTTCCCTCTCTCATGAAGCTTTCATTTGTGGCAAGGGATTCTCAATGTAGACAAGTGGGAAATAAAAACATGCAATGGTCTCCAACCACCAACAGTGAGAAAAGAAAGGCAAAAACATTTTTATATGGGGAAAAACATGAGCAAATTCTGTATCAATCTGAAGGCCACTCAGTAGTTCAGTTGTTGGTAAAGGCAATGGTTCTAGAACTATAATAAAAATTGTAGCTCCTAGCTCTGTTTTCTGAGTCTCTTGGGCAATTCAGCTTCCTGAGTGACAAACTTAAGGAATCTGACACCTTTAAAGTTAGGAGATATTCCAGTCTTAAAAGGGAATATTCAATCTGGAGTGATATGACAGCAATGTCCCAATATCTCAGGGGCTGCCACAAACAAGAGGGAGTCAAGCAGTGGTGGAACCCTCCTGGTTCGGCCCAGTTCGGCCGAGCCAGTAGCGGTGACGATATGACATCACTGAACCGGTTCTCTTTGTTCGGGAGCTGGGTCCTCCCGCCGCCCCCCGCGTTATTCTTACCTTTTATTTGGCCCCGCCCCCAATCTATTCGCTGCCTCCCGAGCCCAACTGATTGGCTAGAAGGAAAAAAACTGTTTAAACTCTTGCCGCGGGGCTTCAAAGGGCCGCCCTACAGCTGATCAGTGTAAAAAGGCAGTGTGATGGTAGACCAGTGCGCTCCAAAAACAAATGGGTAGACCGGTGCCTCCAAAAACAAATGGGTAGACTGGTGCCTCCAAAAACAAATGGATAGACTGGTGCCTCCAAAAACAAATGAGTAGACCGGTGCCTCCAAAAACAAATGGGTAGACCGGAATACTCCAAGAACAAATGGGTAGACCGGTACAGCTCTGCAAGCAGTTAAAGGCCTGGTAGATCAGTACCTCTGCTAAATCCTAAAGAATTGTCACATGACCATCAAACCACGCCCACATAAGCCATGCCCACAGAACCGGTAGTAAAAAATTTTTACAACCCACCCCTGGAGTCAAGCTATTCTCCAAAGCACCTGAGGGCAGGACAAGAAGTAACGGGTGGAAACTAATCAAGGAGAAAAGCAACCTAGAACTAAGGAGAAATTTCCTGACAGTTAAAACAATTAATCAGTGGAATGATTTGCCTCCAGAAATTATAAGTGCTCCATCACAGGAGGTTTTTAAGAAGAGATTGGACAACCATTTGTCTGAAATGTTATAGGGTCTCCTGCTTGTGCAGGAGGTTGGATTAGAAGACCTCCAAGTTTCTTTCTAAATGTTATTTTATTCTATTCTATTTTGGAAGCGTTAGAAAAGAGAATTTTTCTAATGTTGGCATTGGCAAAAGTCAAAATCAAGCACCCCACACTTGATTCAGAAGGGCACAGAAGACGACAATATTTCTGCTAAAGTCCAAGGATTCCTACCTCGGCGTAATGGCCAAAAGCAAAACAAACCTAGATTTACAATCTGTGTGATATAGTTGTTGAGATGTTGGGAGACCAAGTGCTAGTCCATTTTTAGCCTGGTAGCTCTCTCATTAGGCTTTGGGGAAATCCTGAGGCAGAAGAGCTTATATCTAAACTCATGGAAGAAAAGTAGGCTGGAAATGTAAAAAATGGTAAAAATAATAAAACTGTGAGCTGAGTAAGGGAGGAAAACCATTGTCTTCCTTTATTTATGGACTGCCAGCTGGAGCTTGGCAGAGATTACGACATATTGGAGGCTCTATTTTCAGAGCTCATTAAATATCAGTGAAATAGCTCCTGTCTGCAAAATCAAGGTCTTAGATGTGAACAAAAATACACAAATGTTATATACATTGCTGTCTGGGTCTGTAAGAAAATTCATTCAAAATTTATCGGAGATGAATTTCAAAACTTGAACACATTTAACATGACTTATTAATCATTCTAAAAGAGGGGTGTTTAGATTGATTCAAATGTAAGATAATATAATGCAGATTGAAATGTTTCAAAACTGTTGTTTTTGGAAGCATTTTGAAGGTCAAATTTTCTAATAAGACATCTTAGTTATTTGTACCGACAATACCAGAGAAATAAAGGCTCAGAAAGATGTTAATTGTGTACATTTTAATGATCTATGATAGTCAGGGCCCTCAGTCACTTTAATAGGCTACAACAAACAACAAAAAGAGTTGTCATTTTGATGTAACATACTAATGGTTGAGTATTGGTTACTCATATAGCATACTGCTTTTCAACTATCTATGATTTTTTTTTTGTTTTGTTCTTATATATATGATTCTTACAGACCTTTCATTTAGTGGCATGTTGGCATATTTATATCCATTTAGTCACCAGGAGTGAAGCACATTAAAAAGCATCTTTATTTTTATCTCTTTGTAAAATTCTTCATTCATTGGTTTCACAGGGCCTACACAGAGTTCTCACTTTGTGATGGAACTAACATCGAAACTGTGCTTAGATTTTTTTTTTAATAAAAAAAAAGCTACCCCCCCCAGATTAAATTCATGTAGCTTAAATTGTACATACTTATTTCACCTTCTTAAAATACTTCCTATTGTTTAGTTTCTGAAAGTAAAGAAAATCCCACTAATTGCAAAACTGCATAATTATTAAATTTGATATTGTTTTGGTATTATTTTGTGGTAATTGAGACAAATTATTAAAAGTACATTTATTTCTTCCTCTTTGAATCTGTTCCCTTTGGTAGTATTTTTTTTTCCTCTTGTCCAAAATCAGTTTAACTAACTGTCTTTCTATAAAAGCTTTTATTTTTCTCCCCCTTTGTAAATTTACCTCAGGGGGCTCTCCCTCGTTTAATATTAAGGATATTTTGGGGAGTTTGAAAGTGTTAACTCATTTTGCAGTAGAAAAGCAGTTTATGAAAACCTTAAAGCTTGTGAGCTGCAGAATCACACTAGAAAAGCACATATGCATTTTTGTTAAGAGATTTGCAGTCTTTTGTCCTTTTTCTTTTGATAGATATTTTATAGGTAGTTGAAAAACAATCCCTCTAGTAGCAAAGACAGATATATATTGATTGAATCCCAGAAGACAGGAACAAGAGGATGTTAGCTGTCTGTTTGGAACTGTGTGTATCTTTTAAAAAAGCCAAGGGGGCAATACCTTAAAAAAAAACAACCAGGCAATCCAAAGGCAATTTAGCAAGCTCACTTACAACTGGAAATCAGTTAGATGGAAAAGAAAGAGGAAATTAAAGGGTAGGGAAGAGAAAGAGAAAAAAATGGGATTGTCAGCCAGCATTGCCAGAAGTAGCCTAACATACTTGGAAGGCGCCAAGTTAAGGAGGACTGTTTTACATACAGACAGAATCATAGAGACAGAATCATATAGACATGCCATCTTGGATTATGTACATACAGTACAGGGATGGGTTCTACTTATCTTTACTACTGGTTCGCAACGGGATCGTGTGTGCGCACTCGCTTTGCTCGCCAAGCTTCTGTGTAGATCACCTATGATGACATCCAGGGCAGTGGGCGCAGCTGGTTTTACTACCGGTTCTTGAGAACTGGTCTGAACCAGGGGCAACCCACCACTGATACAGTACTCTTAAGAGCAGAGAACTGCACAAATTCGCCTTCTTAAATATTATGTCAGAAAGGAAAAAAGAAATGAAAACTTGCCTGTTCAAATTCTTCCATATCCACTTCTCCATCGCCATTTAGATCAAACATCTTGAAAGCAATTTCGAAGTTTCTCTGAGGAGCTAGGGAAAAAAAACCCAGTATATTATAGACATTACATTATGGAGTAATCAGAAAGCAGCAATAATGATTTAAGAGTGATATTACAGCTTAAAACTTTTTTTTAAATTGTTCTTGTTTTTGCAATATATTTCTTATGTTTCTCCAGTGGATTTTTCTTCTTCTTGATTTTGTGTCTGCATCTTTGTTAATATGTATTATCTTAATAGTCCTCTTTAGCAATTTTCTTGCAAAAAATATATCTGTAATATCTTGAAATTATGAGCTCTGCAGGGCTACGTTTCTCCAGTAAGTCCATATTAAGTTTCATAACTTTATTTATGGCTCTATGCACAAAACATCTGTAATTTCTGTCCTCTCTAAGGAAATAGGATAGAGAAAACCTAATTAGAAATTGAGGCTCCAATGCTAAACTAAAAGTTTCAAATCTAAGCATGAATTTAAATGCAGGTTGTTTATAGGACAGCCCACAGATAAATTTATGCAGAGACGAATTTGATGGAACAAGTGGGACAATGAAAGGTTTTAATTAAACCATTTGCAACAAGAAGATTCTGTGTGAAAAATCAGGCAAATGACAATTTCATTTTAAGTACTATTTATTTGAAATCAAATTGTGCTGTTTTCATTTGGAGTTACTTCTTATTAAATATTGTGGCCTTAGTAGCAATAGCACTTAGACTTATATACCACTTCACAGTGCTTTATAGCCTTCTCTAAATGGTTTAGAGAGTTAGCATATTGCCTCCAACAATCTGGGTCCTCATTTTACCAACCTCGGAAGGATGGAAGGCTGAGTCAACCTCGAGCCGGTGAGAATCGAACTGCTGGCAGCTAGCAGTCAGCAGAAGTAGCCTGCAGTACTGCATTCTAACCACTGCGCCACCGCGGCTCATAACAAAACTGTAACAAAAGTTATAGGAAGATGAAGGACAGGTTATACCTCCAGCTTCTAAACATATCTTGGTGGACCCACACCTTATCCCAGTGATGGCAAACTGATGACTTGCATGTCAAAAGTGATACATTACAATATTTTGGCTGACATGTCAACATTCATCAATATCTGACAACCACAGTGGTATCTTGGTATTCAATGAAAATTCATTCCAGAAGACGCAACAAATACTAAAACCAATGAGTACTAAGAAAACCATGTGACTTACTACATGTCACTATTTTGGCCAGAAGAAAGAGAGAATCACAAAGCAGCCGATGTCAGTAAGTTCTTCCTTGGGCGTCGACTACCAGGAGGAAGACAAGCGCTTGGACAAGATTTCTACTTCAAAATCTGTCGAGAACTGAATTTGATGGGTGTTGCAACAGTTGAGGGCTGAGGTATGACTGTATTCTCAAAAACACACCCCATTCTTATGTGATCTTTGGGGGCTGCAGAAGCTATGTGAGAATGGGGGTGGGGGATCTTCTCGCACAACCACTGGACTTTCTGGAAATCGTGCAAGCTCCAAAAATAAGTTTGTTTCCATTTTGTAATTATTTGGTATTTCTCTATATAATACCTGTTACCACACAATTAGACTGTATTATTTTTAAGAAAACAAACCAATATGTAAAGAATTCTCTTGTGTGTGTGTGTGTGTGTGTGTGTGTGTGTGTGTGTGTGTGTGTATCAGTGGTGGGTTTCAAAAAAATTTTCTATCAGTTCTGTGGGTGTGGCTTGGTGGGCGTAGCAGGGGAAGGATACTGTAAAATCTGCATTCCCACCCACTCCGGGGGAAGGATACTGCAAAATCCCCATTTCCTCCCGATCAGCTGGGACTTGGGAGGCAGAGAATAGATGGGGGCAGGGCTAGTCAGAATTTTTACTACCGGTTCTCCGAACTACTCAAAATTTCCGCTACCGGTTCTCCAGAACTGGTCAGAAACTGCTGAAACCCACCTCTGGTGTGTATGTGTCTGTGTCTGTATCTGTGTGATACACCAGCAGAGTCAAGTTAGGCATTTTCTGAATATGCGGAAAATGAGGTTTTAGCATCATTGCCCGGCCTAGCCTATTCATGCTGACATCTTTGATCTAGGGCAGTTAATAAATCTTTTTTCCCTCTTCTCTATTGTTTTAAGCACTCAGGAAAATATTAACTAAAATCTAGGAGCTGCAATAATTACTGTACCAAAGAAGTATCTCTGTAATATCCATATTATGGCACTTTTCGCCAGGGAATGACTCAGAAGAAAGCTTTGTGTCTAGTAATATCTGTTTGCTACTTAATTTTGAAGAGAGGCTGTTATCTGTATTTCCATACCAAGTCTTTTCATAACTGTTGTCCCACCACATCTTGGGTTTAGGGGTAAAATAAAACTCAGCCATTAGTTCAATTGTTTATTTACATCACTTGTTTATTTACGTCAATTACATTATATGAGAATTTCATTTGAGTGCAGTGTGATTTTTGTCGATTCATTCTGTGGAGGTGGTAAGGCTGGTTTGTTTTCATGCACTCAACACTCCATTCCAATAGTTTCCACAAGATGTCCCACCTTGCCCTCAAGCTAATTAGACACTATTCACCTTCAGGAATAGCGAAGAATGACAAAGTTCACCTTACTGTAAGAGCAATTACAGGTAATCCTCGACATACGACCACAATTGAGCCTAAAAATGTTGTCTCTAAGCAAGACATTTCTTAAGTGAATTTAACCCTATTGTATGATCTTTCTTGCCACAGCTGTTAAGTGATTCACTGCATATTAGTGACATGGTTGTTAAGTGAATCTGGCTTCCCCGTTGACTTTGCTTGACAGAGGTTTTCAAAAGGTGATCATGAACCAGGTAAAATGTAAATATGAACCAGTTGCCAAGCATTTGAATCAGTGGTGAAATCCAAAAATTTTTACTACCGGTTCTGTGGGCGTGGCTTGTGGGCATGGCAGGGGAAGGATACTGCAAAATCTGCATTCCAACCCCGCTCCAGGGGGAGGATATTGGAAAATCCCTATTCCCTCCTCACTCCTGGGGGAAGGATATTGCAAAATCTCCATTCCCACCCCACACTGGGGCCAACCAGAGGTGATATTTGCCAGTTTTCCAAACTACTCAAAATTTCCACTACTGGTTCTCCAGAACCTGTCAGAATCTGCTGGATTTCACCCCTGATTTGAATTTTGATCACATGACCATGGGAATGCTGCAATGGTTGGAAGCGTGAAAAATGGCCACAAGTCATTTTTTTCCAATGCTGTTTTAACTTTGAATGGTTGCTAAACGAACTGTTGTAAATTGAGGACTACCTATACTTTGAAACAGCCTCTCCATCTTTTGAGTGACTATACTTCCAGTCCCCGATGTCTCATTAATATTTTACATAAAACATGAAAAGAATCGGTTCAATACACTTCCCACGTCAATCATGAGAGAACAATATGGAGTATATTTGCCTTTAAACTCAAGCCCTTCATATTCTCTACACGTGAGAACTGCCTAGAGGTCCAGCCTCTGAGCCTCGTAACAATTTCTGGTGCTCATCAAAAAGACGTCTAAATGGAATTTTAGCAAAACTATACTATTCTGCAATAAGAACTAAACTGAGAATGCTGTTTATAGCAGACGTCCTTGCAAAAGTCTTAATATTCTCATCTTGTGCCGCAGAATGGGAACATTAGGCCTCCGAAACCTTAAAAAAAATTTAAATGAACTGAGATGTTTTCCTTAGATGCCCCTCATTATACTATTAATCATACTACTTTCTGTCTTGTTCTCCCCTCCCCAATTAATACATTATATGCGAAATCGGACACTATAATTATTCTGCTTATAATATAGGGTGGCTTTTTTTCTCTAATTCTTTCCTCTTATTGGGAGGGAACAGGAAATATATCTCCCTGTGGGAATATGCATCTTCAGACGCTGTTGGAATTCAAAGATGCGAACGCAGCACAATATTCATTCATATGCAGTAGAAGCCAGCGTGGAATAAGAAATATATGGCTTTCCCCGAAATGTTTAATGCTGGTTCCATTTCTAGTATCCTATTACCAAACAATTGTCATAGCTTCCCCAGAGCATTCAAGGAAATACAGGTTGCGATAATACAGAGAACCCTCAAAGGATTTTCCCTGCCAACAGACACCATATATTTGTATTACAGAACTGCTATTCTCAGGGCTTCTAAGGAAATTAAACTAAGATACATTTGAGATTTAGGTATGTTCAGATATATTACTATTTGTTTAAAGTCCAAAGGCTCTTATATCCTTTTCAAGGTTTGCATGCAATATATCAACCAGACTATGATTTTACTTTCCTTGTTTTATAACAGTAAACGTAGGAACCTCCCTAGTATGTCTCCATTATGAGACCTCTGGGACTGACTTTAGATCTCCCATCCATTATTTCCTTACATGTGATACTACCATTTGGGAATTATGTCTATGGATATTCTCAATCATCCAAGTCATGGTTGTCCCAAATGTGCTTTTTCCAAAAGGCAATTGGACTTTCTTGTTTTTGTTTTTGTTTTGAAAATGTTTCGCTTCTCAGCCAAGAAGAACTGAAGAAGCTTCTTGGATGAGAAGTGAAATGTTTTCAAAGAAAAACAAACAAACCAACCAACCAAGAAAGTCCAATTGCATTTTGGAAAAAGCACCTTTGAACATTAAATAGTTCAGCTATAATCAGAGAAGCACGGTAACTATCTAACAAATAAATAAATAAATATTTGATCTAAACCATTAAAATCTGAGGGAATAAATATCTTGATCATTGTAGGCAGAAATACATGACTTTTTCTTCAATAAAAGAAAAAAAAAAAAAACCAGATTCCTAATGTGGCATTAGAGGAAAGTACAGATCATCCTTGAGTTACGACAGTTCGTTTAGTGACTGTTCGACATTACAACGGCACTGGAAAAAGTGACTTATGACCATTTTTTACATTTATGATCATGGTCATGTGATCAGAAATAAGATGCTTGGCAACTCACTCATGTTTATGACAGTTGCAGAGTCCCAGGGACATGTGATCCTCTTTTGTGACCTTCTGAC